GAACATTGATCACAGGTGGATCAGCACAATTACTTATCAAATCAGAGAACGATGATTGGAACGACAACGAAGAAATTGTAAATATTTGACCGAATTGAAATGAAGTTGGCTGGCTCCTAACCATTCTCACACACATACAACAGCTAAACCACAGAAGATAGAGTCTTGGTGAAACATGAACTAGGTCATATGAAAAGTAGAAACTGTTCATACACTTAGCTTGTTGTTGTGGAAATATCAAGCAGTTTGATTAAGCACTGTACAGACAAAAACTTTTTGGAAATTCATGTTCGTGAGTGCAGGTATGTATTTCGAGTGGTAGCCTGTTCCAGAGTCTAGTGTACCAGTTGAGGAAAACATTGGCAGATCCCCTGGGTCTAGACTGGCATTCCCACACTGAGTTCTGTATGTTTCGTCTGTTGTAAGTCATGTCAATTCAAAAACTGCTTTATGCACCTTTGGCGAATGAATATTCAGCAACGATACACACGATCACAGAAATTTTACAGAATGTAGACAATTACAGCAAGTACCATAAGTCTGTTTTATAAAGAACGGACATCACCATACTGCCATCATACTGCGAAGCTGCTGGTTAGGTCTAGAACGACAGAGTTGGAGTCTCACAGAAAACGCGAAAGATAAGCGCTACCCGACGAGCGGTAGGCCCGTGTGCGAACATAAATCAGCTTGTACTTCTGCCTAGTAGACGAACTTGATGGACAATAAAATAAAGCGATGTGAAGCGGACGACTACTGTCAGCCAGTATCTTAGATATCAGTTTCCTATAAGAATATTTTGTGTGTAGAAATAAGTGTAGGGATAAAATAGGCAACGGAATGCCGCCACATTGGTAGAAGTGCCGTAAAGACCTGACCATCAAGGTAAAATGCTTACCCAGAATACTGGGAAAAGTCCCAAAGGAGCAGTACGTTCAGTGGGGAAGAACACAGGCATTGACAAATCAAAGGATCGACTCACGTGAAAGAGAGGGAGGAGGCTCTTAGATGCGAGGACAACGTTTGACAACGTTCGAGGCTTTGTGAACATTTCCTTTATACGAACTGTCCATGATAAATCATAATTAAGTACCACACCTAGGTACTTCACCGATGTGACAAAGTCAAATGCATCATCGTGAATAAACGCCTTGGACCACCGTGTAACGAGCTGTGCGCACGTTGCTCCCTTGTGTAGCGGAAAAAGAATATCATGGTGCTTTGCTATATTAAGCGACAAGTTGCGAACTTTGGACCAAACATTGAGGGCATTCAGATGGTCATGAAGCCTGAGTGAGGAATCGGTGTTTCGATGATTAATGGCCAGGCGCACCTCGTCAGCATATTTTGGTTAGGTCGCTTCTGTGGTGGCTGGCATTGAACTGAGGAAAGTAGAAAATAGAAAAGAAGCCAGACTGCTAATTGCAATAATGACACGTTGAGATTGGAAACTTCCATTTCCGTGCAAATATTAAAGAATGTACGTAGATACTTCATGCGGTACTTCAGGTACCTAGATGCTTCATGCGCCGTAGGCAGAGCGGGTTAAGCTTCAGCATGTCACATTGTTCAGGATATTCCCGTTTTAAAGAAGCACCTAGGCGTTTGTGAATGCTTAATTTACTTGTTCCAGTGCAATGCGGTCGCGCTTTTTGTGTGGCTCCGCACCATTGAACGTGGACTGAACAACTGATTTGTAAGAGATAAGTACCTATCCATGTAGAGAAAAACTCTAGAATATCTAGCTAATCTTCTGTCTTGCTCTCGCGGTTTCATATTCTATTTGTTCTCGGAAGCTAATAAGCGTAATTAACGCAATAACAGATCCCTAACCGTAGGGTAGAGATAAAGTGGTATTCCATAAATTGTCAGGTTACCATGAGTAAGATCGCACTTGTGGGACATTGCAAACAGTTCTCAGTAAAGGAAGACACTTTTCACTTTGAGTACCAGGTTTCAACTGCATGGAGGTCAAGTCGAATCATGTTAATAGTATCATTTGAGGTTTCTGGATTGGGCCTTTTTAATGTCATCGGCAAATAGGTATGGTGTGCAGAATTGGATTACGTCGAAGATGTTGTTGCGCTGGTGCGGTTCCGGTGTTCATGGATAGATTGAACCTCCACAACGATAGCCTGAGGATGTTGTCCCCGCCCAATCTAAGGAAGAAATATTATATGGACCGCACAATATGACAATGTTGTGCACCTGCTAATTTTGTGTGCATCGTGGAGCTCAAATCTGATAGTTGAAATGCTCGACCGTGACTGGTTGCGAAACCATGCATATGGTAACGGGATACACGTTGAAAGAGGTGCAGAAATTTTGGTTAAACATTATGGTAGTTTGAGAAAGAGCTATTATGTTGTATCCAGCTGGTGCTGCGAGTGCCATTTGGCCGTAGATATCTTTTGTAGCTTTACAATATAAAAGACCAGTTGACGTTCTTGTATTGACTGTCGTGAGCTCCCTTTTCACCAGCGATTTGTTTCGTCTGATAAGCCATCTTCAACGATATGGCCGAATTCTGGTGCATCAAAAATGGAGATTTATTCGTTTCGTAGTATGCTGCATTTAGTTTTACGCAGTAAATAGCTGCTTTTCATGGAATAGTCATTTCGAGACCTGAGGGAAAGTGTCTGTGTTCGATAGGAGCCACTGCGTCGAGACAGAGATTGATGTTGTTATGTAGAGCATCAGCTGCGGCTTGCGAGACGCCAGTGAGGGACTAAATGTCCCACTGAACATGACTGAGGAAATTAGCTAAAAATTTTGGATGCTACTGAAATTCGTAGCAACCAGTTTGCAGCGATATTGTCGATGGACAGTTCTTGTCAGACGTAACTCCACTGCTTGTGGTCGTGCGTCTTCAATTTCTCAGAGGAGGATGTTTGAAGCTCAAGAACCCCGCAAACAACAATGGTCAGCTTTTCGTCATGTTTATGATATTTCTCACGGTTGTTTTTCTTTTTCGACCATTGGAGCCAAGGGATGTACGAAAGTATGCACACCTCATGTGATGAGTTACGGAGCCGAATCGAAGACAGTAGAACGGCATCTGTGTTATCAGTGGAACTGTCAGTGGAAGCGTCGAGGTTGACCGTAATACACTGGATTGGAGAGACATGGGCTCAAGCAAAATGCCAATTGCACGACTATTCCAACATCATTAAACCAAAATGTCTGAACCAGTTGAATATTGCCACACACGTACGTCTCATTCACAGCAAATTAGTCTCCCATTCTATTTGTATTATCATTAGTGAATGGCCGCTGAGCTGAAAATAGATGGATACATACCTCTTTCCATACCACATATTAGGATACTGCGATCGATAGGAAATATTTTAGCCTATATAGTACAATATCATTTTAACGTTTTTTTTATCACCACACAATTGCTTTTCTTATCGCCCTTCAGTGAAAAGTAAACCTGGCTCCATCCGTTCACGGAGCTGTCCACCAGAACGTCATTTGAAGCTTTGCGGGCCAGAACAATCACAAATAAAATTAAGAAGCTCACATTTGCTTAACACTGACTATCCCGCGGGTATCAAGTGAAAATATGTCACGTTTTGTCGACGCCGTAAAGGACATGACTTGTGCATCTGAGAATAAAACTTTGATATTAATATTATTATTATTGCGATTGTTTCCATGTCGTTTTAAGTAGACATTGAAGCAGTTGAAACGAAGGAAGTAACTAGGCCACTGTGTTGATTGTGCTAGAAGTGGTAAGGAAACATTAACAGTGAGTTCACTGACTTCAAGTCCTCTAAATCGCCGTCATTACCAATTAACTCCAAAACCGCAGCAGATTCTGCGCAACATCACCCTGAATAAGAAGCACACTCATTGGTCTATATTACATGCAAACGGAATATGCTCAGCGCCGAAAAGGATGCAGTATCACGCGTTTGCTAGTATCCCCATGAGAGCCAAATCCCTAACGCAGCTCGACGATTCTGATTGAGGTTCATTGTGCAAACATGCGTCATTAGCCGAATACTTTAATTTAGTGACAATTCCAGGTGGGACCAATCGATGTCGCTCGGGTGTAGCTCACCATAGCGTGAGAAATGCCACTTGAAGCTACTTGCGTAATATTTGCGTTGTCTTTTAAATAGCAAATGTGGAGTTGAAATACAGACAGCCCTTCAGAAGAAACAGCATAGTTTTTGACCATTGTCCAAGAGGATGTGCTGTGTTCCCCCTTGGGCGACAACGTGCACTAAGGAGTGTTTTGGAAGGCATTAGCAAGCCGTTTACATATAATGATTGGCTCTTTCATTCACAATGAAAAGTCACGTGCACTTCCTCGTTATTTTTGCTCATAACCGCATGGGAACTAGAGTGATTCCTTTGAGACATGCTAAACTGCAACTCATTCACATTGACGTAGTTTCTACGTCGAGAGTGAGAGTAGGAAGATATCGACAATTTCCATATTCTGTTCTGGTGAAAGACGGCGAGAAGTCGTTGATCTTAAGATGCGGTCTAACTTTAACGTGCAACCTCAGTAGTATACGGAAGAAACAGACGCTATTTCGACCTTGCATTGCACGTACTCATTCCTATGGTATTAGTGATCGGATATTGCTTCATCGTAATGAGAGCAAATCACATTAGTTACCGGAATCACATGTCGGACGACAGCATACAATGCAAATGAGACAATGGAACTGGTGAAAGAAGCTAATCCCAACCCACATACACATGCGTGCAAGCCAAGCCACTTTGGGGAGTGAATACTGAGGCAAAATTGACTGTATATGCGACGCGTGGTGATGCATTGGATCCTTCTGTCGGAGACGTGTGGAGTCAAGTGGATACGAAATCTGCGCACTTGTCACTCGCATAGCAAATGAGAGGATTGCGGAAAGTGCAGATTGGATCTCAGCAGTTCGCGGAAATGCGTGATTGCCACATGCTAATCCTCGCTCACCTCAACAGTGGCACACGTGCCATGATAGTTCCGAACCAGATCACTAAGTACACTAATGCGACAAGTTCCGATCAGCAGTGAATCAGAGATGAAAGCGATCGTACCAACCCGAACACTAAATGCGCGTGCTGATTCTCTGCTTGTGGTGCTCAGCATATTATATAAAATTGGCCGTTGTCTGTCTGCATCTTCAGTGGAAAAAGCACAGCTCATGATGGTGAGTGAAGTCTCAGACTGCTGCACATGCAACTGTGTAACTGTGTGTGTAATTGTGTGTTTTGGCACCTTCTGAGTGGTGCTTTATCTCAGCTGGTCCACGCGATTAACTTTGCCCAACACTGGAATGAGTGCATAACCCACCACACACCCATTCGCTTGTTTTGTAGCGTTCGTTGAGTTTCTCTCTCGTCTTCATGGTTGCACTGGTCAGCTTGTGTGCGTTGGCACAGTGGGATGACGATTGGGACAAGCGGCAGTGGGATGACGATTGGGATAAACGAGAGGGAAGCAAATCGACCGTCAAACCGAAACAAGGTGATACTGAACAGAAGTCATCGGAAAGACCGAGGAAGAGCAATGATGACGACAGTGATAAGAGACGTTACGGCGGTGGCTGGAACAGAGGTGGACATCGAGGTGGACATCGGGGTGGACATCGCGGTGGACGTTGGTAAGCAGGTGAGGGCCATTCAAACTTCCTTGGAGGTAATAATTCCTCGTCAACCTGTAGCCAACGTTTAGTTCGCTTGCATGTGACCTCACGCTTTCAAATTATTGCTTCCATCTTTTTGTTACGTTACCATTTGATTTATTGTCAGTTTGCAAGTGAACAGAGGACACGCAATGGTACCATCTTGCAACATTCGTCTTCTTATTGTGCTATTCAAGTTAATACAGAGTACTCAATGCTTCAAACATTCAGAACGTGATTGTCGCTTCAGTTTTTAGGTGTTCCACTTTCCTTTCTGGCGTATTTCAGTGTTGCATATTTAGTCTGTATGCATGTGGTTGCACCGTAGACCACTTCAAATCGATTTGGCTTCTGTTATTTTCGCATTCTTAATTGCTCCTTTCTCTTTCAGAGCCAATCTGGATAGGATGCTGGCGTACTATTTATACCAGTATTTGCGCAACATTAGTGATGGAGATCGGATAAGTCGGGCCGCTTTGTTTTCACTTAACCATGGTTTTCAAATACATTACTTTGTTGCTTTATATGCTTGGATTTCTTTCGCTCAGCTCCTAAAGGACGGGATTTGCTTATTTTTCTGCGTTTCTTTCTCTTATACCTTCAATCGTCTTCCGTTTGTCCGCTCTCTTTGTTTCCGAAGACCGTCAGAGCGAATCAAAATGCCTGATAAACTAAGTAATAATCTAAGTAATCACTTAGGGAAGGTAAGATCTTCGCATAGTTTTCCAGGCTTGCGCCTATTTTATAAGCCAGATCTGTAACCACCTTTTTACTTGTTGCACCTTAACGACAGTATTTATACGCCGGAATAGGAAGCTCCAGGAATTGGTAATGTTTATCTATATGCCAATTAAGTGTTTGCTACTTGTTGGAGGATCTGTCTTAATTATTGGGTGTATACCCAGCGGTTCCGTCGTTAAGGCTTCCGTCCAGTTCACTGTATCAATTGTACTAATAATCTCCTATGTTGTCTGTGCTTAACCACGACCATACTATTCGAAGCATTATAGTAGGCGGTAGTGCGGTGGCTATGAGCGCCATGAGATTTGAATGTCTTCATAAGTTTGCTAGATTCAAAATATGAGCGTCTATCGGGAATAATGTTTACATGACAGAGGTGAGCGTCGACCCAGTGATGCAGTGGAACAATGACATTTTACGGATACAGAAGAGCAAATACTTAACAAGTCCCGTAGGTTGTCCAGAATAAGAATCACGAAATGGTAAATACTAAACAGAGGGATAAAAGGAAAAGCGTTTCGGTGGACTCATTACGCTGTTTACACTGATGCATGCAAAAAAGGAGCCAATCTCGATTGTGTTCGTTAGTGGCGGTTGTGCACCGGTGGTTGCAGTAAATCGTCCGCCAAAGTACACAGCCGGTATCTAATAGTGTAGGTGTGTTATAGCGATGTTAAATGCTTCTATTGAACTCAAGTGAAGTAGAAGCGGAAACAACGAAATTGCATGTGCGTGTTCCATGGCTGGCACATACGAAGAGAGTAAAAGTTCCGTCGATATTCCATCCGGCTGTATTGCGTGGCCAACTTGAACTTGGGTCCCTTCAAATTCGTTTTGTGACTGAGTTTTAGTATGTGGCATCGCAAGTGGTTGGGGTTCCTCCCAAGCTAATAGGCCATAATAGGCTCGCCGCATAAACGCCGATACCGGACGATGTATAATTTTAGTGTCCTCAGTTCAAGTTGAAATGGAAAATGGAACAACCCCTTGACGTGCTTCGTGGCTCTTCGCTGTGGAGTCTCAGGTGCTGCAAGGTCTTGCTTGTGCCAGATCTACCAGCCAAGGATTGCGTATTCCACATGAGGCCCCAGGTAGGTGCAAAGCTACTGCGAACATGCAGAAGGATCAAACCACCCGAATGCTCTCCACCGTACGTCAAGGATTTGCTCTCAGTATTTGACGACTCAGATTGTTCTGGGTGTTACGGACATCCATGACTGCGTAATGCCGCATGCACTAACTACAAGCGCCCAATCACATGACTTTAGTGCATTAGCTGATTTGTCTCCGTTTCTCATTGGTTTCTTTTGGTCCTACATGTCTTCTCTTAGCTTCGGTAAGGAGCAGAGTACAGTTTCACAAGGCGTTGGTGTTTTTCCTACGTCTAAACGGACTACAGGTCCATACACAGATTAGTAATACACGATCGGTAAGTAACTGGGCAGCCCAGCTCAGACTGGATTCGTACCCTAAGTTCTTGTTCCTGGGTGGCTGCCTGCAGGACATGTTCTCCAAACCTGTATATGTGATGTTCAGCTGATGACGGATGTGGACCAACTTGCACTTAGATAAATTATATTAAAGCAGTTTATGGAGTGACTATTCATACATCGTGATCTCCTTGGTCGGTGATCGTCCACCATATCAACATCTACAGCACAAAATAAGAAAAATAGGGCATTCAAACTTGTAGGTTCGTTAGGGAACACAAGAAATGGACGCGGCGCCAGCATTGATCTTGTGGAATTCCAAATTCGACATAAATCGGATCGGAAAACGCACTTCGAACCCTAATCCGCAGTGACGGATTCCACAAGAAATTCCTGATCCATTCAAGAACTGGATCCTCAGATTCATGGTTTTGAGCCTGTAAAGCAAAGTGAGGTTATCCGGGCGGTCGACGTATTTGCATGCACCGAGATAAATGGCGTCGGTTCCTCTAACTTTGTCGAATGCTTCGTTCCACCTACTGCGTGCAATCAGTAGGTCGGTTGCGCATGAAAAGTGTTGATGGAAACCGTGTTGCTCGGGTGTTATAATGTGGCATTCTAGATGGTCTACTAAGGCCTCAGCGATGAGTGTCCCCGTCCCCTTTGAGAGTACAGGGAGAAGGACCACTGGGTGATAGTTGACAGATTTCGAGCAATTACCGCTTTTGAAGATTAGAGTGCTTAAGCTATGTTTCGGCATGGTAGGCACCGTTCGCTAAACCAAGCATGTTTGGAAGAAGTGAGATAGTTGCCAGTATTGTTGCTCCTACATTCTGCACTTGAGTGAATAAAATAGATTCCGAGAGAGCTATTTGTGCACAGTGAGGGCAGTTTCTTCAATACAGATTTGGCAGTATAACCGATGTTAGTAAGTGTTGAAATTAAGGCTTAGGGTGTAGGTGTGTAACAGTGGCGGACGTCTCCTTGGAAGATTGGGCATACTAAACCCGTAGGGTGCTGGCTGCCTCTCCAGCACCCTGTGGCACTCCGACAGAGGGGTTAAGTGAAGGATGCTGTCCTTCACTTTCTGTATGGTGTTAACATGCATACATGGGAGGCATTTGTTGTTGGGACCTTTAGAAACCAAGTGTTTTGTATGAGCCACTTCGTCCTCAAGGACCAAGCTAGTGTGACAACTGCAGCTGCGAATTCGAGAGTCGGTATAGTTCAGGTTATCATCATCATCATCATCAGCACCACCACCATCATCATCATCATCATCATCACCATCACCATCCTCATCACCATCCTCATCCTCCTCATCCTCATCACCATCCTCATCACCATCCTCATCACCATCCTCATCCTCATCCTCATCCTCATCCTCATCATCATCATCATCATCATCATCATCATCATCATCATCATCATCATCATCATCATCATCATCGTCACCATCATCATCATCATCATCATCATCATCATCATCATCACCATCCTCATCACCATCCTCATCACCATCCTCATCCTCATCACCATCTTCATCACCATCCTCATCCTCATCCTCCTCCTCCTCATCATCATCATCCTCATCATCATCATCATCCTCATCATCATCCTCATCATCCTCATCCTCATCCTCATCATCATCATCATCATCATCATCATCATCATCATCATCATCATCATCATCATCCTCATCCTCATCCTCATCATCATCATCATCATCCCATCACCATCATCATCATCATCATCATCATCATCATCATCATCCTCATCATCATCATCAGCAGCAGCATCAGCATTATCTGTGTCATCATGATAACTAACAACCGTAAATCAGCAATTTGAACTGATGCTTCGCTGCCAAGCAACCTTAACAAAATACAGAACAAAGAATAATAAAAGTTAGAAAAGTTGGACTTACGGAAAGCCATTATGCTCTCGGCAGACATTCAGGATCAAGGCGCCTACACCTTCTCAGCAACCTACCATCACAAAACCTGGCTATCATGCAAAGATAAGGCGGTATCGGCGAGACCGCTTTCTTGTGGCTTTCACTGCCCAGCGTCATATTCAGCCATTATCTCGCGGGTAACTCACCATCCAACACACGTTTGACAGACAGTCCGACTGTGAGACGGCAGCAGACACGTCACCGGAGCCGACGGCGAGCCAAGTGCAGTAAACTTCGGAACCAAGCCCAGGGCGAGTCACATAGACTCCAGCCTGGAAGACGTGACGGACGGAAAGGGCACCAAATTTGGTAGTCCATAACTCCATTTCCAGCTGCCAAGTCAACATTAGTCGACCTCAAGCTTTGCCCCACCCTACACCTGGCAGACAAAGCGAAACCCTCCTCGGTAAGCGGTGACGGGGAAAAAGTAGTTCGTGCCCAAACCAACACAACTTATTCAGTGTTTTCTGTTGTTCTAAGGAACTAAATTGAGTAACACTGCCTTGCACTCGCCTAGGCAGATCATCTTTGCGGACACGTTAGTGTCACCCGACACCAGCAGTGCTCCTCAGACATGGATAATCAAAGACTTGGAAGCGCATCAGATGTTCAAATCTAAGGGGGTCTAGTCTCACTTCCATAGAGCCTGATAGGCCCAACTGTGGTCTTGTATACCCTGCCTTTTCGACAGAGGGATACCCCATTCTGTCGCCAATGATGTCGCAGATTAAAAAAGAATTCTGGCTTTTGCAATACGTAAACAGGTCTCAGTAGCTATACTCCCATTTTTGCTGATAAAGCTGTCAAGGTAAGTGAAGGGATCAACTATCGCGAGTTCCTCGTTATCTAGGGTCATGAAGGTGATGAAGTGGCTGGTGGTCCTGCAGCAACATTTTGCACTTTGAAGGTACAAATCGCATACCACATAATGGTAAGAAACTAAACTGGTTTTTCAGGGTTGATTGCGCCGCCTCAGCATCTGTAAAAAGCAAGACAATATCACCTGCATAATCAACATCAACTAGCCTGTCACCAGGTAGCACCTCAATGCCTGAAAGTTGAGAATTCTCAAGGAAACACTCCATGAAGTAGTCCACGACGAAATTGAACAGAATTTGGGAAATTGGACAACCCTGACGAACGCCGTTTGTTGTCGGAAAGCTAACTGACTGGTCACAGTAGACTCTGACGCAGCCGGTAGTGTTCGAGTATAGAGCATGTTCACAGATTTCATAAGAACATCTTACCGAGCGTATTTCTAACAGAATGCACCGATCGACTGAATCGAACGGACTTTTGGAATCGAGGAACACAGTTATCGTCGGTCTGCGGTATGCGTAGCGCTGCTCTAACACCTGCCGTAGAGTAAATATGAAGTCTATAAAGCCACGTCAA